TTAGGCGATGGATAATCCCACTAACCATGTTCTACAACGAGGGATAATTTCGTTATTAGTAGTAGGTGATTTGACAATCATCGAGAGATGAAACTAGAATGGACTTGCTAATACGTAGGGTACTCGAACTAAAATTTATGGATGAATTCGGGATAGTAAGAAATCATTGCATATCAAGTGCATTACCCTACTTACCGAGCTTTGGCTTATATTGTTGTTGTTTTTCCATGGTGTAACAAATAGAGACAAAGATAATTCGTCGAGGAAGTTTTCGGTTCTCACTAAAAAGGCTTATGTGCTACCTAAAATTTTAGGAATCTTTTGAAGGGTTGTAGATAAGTGATACTCGTTATCCTATTTGTGGGAAGTCGGCATCGTAGACATTTTATGATCCCCGTGACTATAATTATTCATACCACGTAAATTTTATTGTATGTATTCTATTACTTACTATTTTATTTAATTTTGGTTATGTATCATAGGGAACTAGTCGAGATTTTAGGCTTAATGATGTAATGAACCTAGGCGCTCCTATTAGGAAATAGCAAGTGAGTTAGGGGCGTTACACTTATAATCTTAATTCTCCTACTTTTAGTTTTCTTGAACCATCTTTTTCTATAGCTCGTTATTTCTTTACCTTTTTTACATTGGTCCAAGTAGATCTATTAAAATTCCCGTATATTTGTATATCTAAGATCATTATATTCCTTCAACAACTTTTTTTTCTCATAGTAATCTCATTCACACCACCCTGTATCCTATGCATCATTATTTTTTAACATTTCAACTCTTTCCCTCTAATGTTGCTTTTACTATTTCATTATCAAACACATTTGATCTTCAAACTTATTCACAAAACTATGAAATTTGAATATTGCAAAAATGCTATGTATTCCGAGTTGCTTGCTTTTGAGGAAAACAACACTTGGTTTGTGGTTCTATTGCTCGTAAGACATCACGTAGTGGACTCGTAAATTGGGTTTTAAAGTTAAACTTAATACTAATGAAAGTGTTATAAAATACAAGGCTAAACATGTTGTAAAGGGATATAGCTAGGTTAAAGGCTTTGATTATAAAGAGATCTTAAATCCTACTACCGAACACACTACAACAAGGTTATTTCTTACTTTAGTCGTTGTTCATGGTTGGTTTCTCTCTCGGTTAGATATTAATAATGCATTTTTATATGGTGTGAAGGATCATGCATCCTATGGATGTGCGAAATATAATAAAAAAAATTTCACCATCTAAAGTTCTTAAGATCATGTCGTTGAATCAACTAATCATACATACATGAATTAAAACACAAGTAAAGGATTACCTCTTGTAATACGAGCTAAACCTTTAAAGAAAAGGAGTTATCCTAGCGTTCGACCTCTATCGATAATCCACATAGTCCAAGCACCCACATAAGAACCACTCAAAATTAATAAAGTAGTAGTTTTTTTTTTTTTTTTCTAACTTGTTTTATGTTTTTCCTTTAGGAATCTTCTCGGGGATATTTTGTGATAACCTTAAAAGAGAGGAAGAGAGGTGGCATGTGTGAGGAAGGGAGAAAACTATTTTTCCCTTTATTTTTCTTTCTAGCCGTGTAGCGCTAATTTTTCTCGATCTTTTGTCGCACCTTTCCTTCTATTTATAGTGGTAGAGGCTTCCTTATCCTCCAAGGATAAGGAACCGATGGCAACTTGTCCCATGTGAACTCTAGGTTTTTGCTTCCTAATCCTCTAAGGATTATGAGTTATTATATATGTGGGCTTTTTTAATTTTATCCTTTTAAACCTTGATCCTTATCCAATAAGGCTCATGTTTATTCTCCTACCTAAATATCTTTTAGCCTTTTAAATTAAACCTATTGACCTAAACTATTTTGATCTAATTAATTACTAATTAATTTGGACCATCCAAATAAATCAGAGTTAGATAGTTTTAGGAGATCCACATTAGGAAATAATTTTTCAAATTACCCTTAAACCTAAATGTGGGAACTAATTTCCTTTTCAAGTAACTTACTTCCAAATTTGGAACTCGACTTCCAAATTAGGAAATTGATTTCTAGAATAAAAATCTTTTCATTTTAGGAAACTTTTCATTTTTTGAAACCATTTTCAAAATAGAAAACTTTCAAAATTGGAAACTTTTTTCAACATCTTTACTTCTCTTTTATTATGTGAATGCTTAAATTTATACGTATGACTCAATATGCTCCTAGATATATTGGTAATATATCGAGCATAAAAGACACCTCTTTTATTTTTTGATACATAAATCAAGATTGGCCTATGATTACTCAAGTTTTTTTTATTCCTAAATGCCTTAGCTCTTAAAGTAAACTAACTATGCTTTATTGGTATACTTCTATTCTGCCGAGGATTTTTGAGTAGATGTTCATCGAAGTGTAATATGATAATTCTTTTAGTATACAAGAAATAATATGTCTTATCTTAGTCATCTACCTACCTCCATTAGATTCTTAGTGCATCCAACAAATCGCCCATGTGCAACCCTTTACTAGGTCTATCAAAACGAGTGTCAAAGTACATAAATTCTCTAATGAGACAACTATGATGACTTCGAATTAAAAGAATAGTTGTACCCATCTCATATGAAATTTTCATAGACTAAATCAAATGGGTTCTTATGGTCATTAAGTCCGATGATATGTTCTCTAATATAAATCACCCGAGTGTTTGCTTTGGCATTATCATGCTAATAGGAGTGAGATCTCCTACTTCTATCATATAGCATGAGCACAACACTCACAAGTTTAACCCCATATAATCAATGTCGATTATTGAAAATGCTACGACTTGAGACGTTTAATGATATCATTTAAGTACATTAATATTTGTCTCATATCGTTTGATCAATCATTGATTCAAATGCATATCATATAAACTTATATCTAATTTTATTCAATAAATAAATATAAAAAATGATAATTAATAGAAATAATTATTTCATTGTATATAAAATAAATAATGCAATGTTATAATAACTCAAATCTATCCAAACATGTTTGAATTTTGGGCACCTACACCGACGTGGTGATCTAGAAGAAACTATCTTTATGGATTCTTTTTCTTGTTACACTATTTAGGAAGAGTATATGGCTAATTCAAATCCACAAAAATTAGTCTATAGATTGAATAAATCCTCATATGGATTAAAGTAAGCATCCAAACAATGAAAACTAAATTTACTACTTTTTTGATTAAGTATGGCTTTTAGCAATCCAAGAAAAATTATTACTTGTTTACAATGTGCACCAATTTACGAATTTTCTTGCTTTACTAGTTTATATGGGTGACTTTATGATTGATAGCAATTCGATTCTAACATAACTCATCTTAAGCAATTTCTTAGCATGAAGTTCAAAGTTAAAGATCTTGGTCCACTTAATTACTCTTTAGGAATTAAAGTTGCTAGATCAATGAAATGAGTCGTTACTGTCAAGCCGAATATGTTTTGGAGTTGTTAGAAGAATATTATTTCTTTGGATTTAAGGTGACATCCACTTTTATGCATCTTAAACAGAAATTGATACATGCTTTAGAAGATATTCTCACTAATCATACCGAATACGGATAATTAGTGGGCAAACTTTTGTATTTAAACTTTAACAAACTAGGCATTTGTTATGCAGTGCATGTTCTTACTCGGTTTAAGGACAAACCAATTTTGGTTCATTTAAAAGCCGCACATAGGGTGTTTAGGTGTTTGAAGAATTCACAAGGACAAGGTTTGTTATTTTTAGCGAAGTCATCTCTTCGATTAAGGTCTTTTTCGGATAGTGGTCGAGTTGATCGTCATAAGGCTAAAAAATCGGTTTTAGAAATTCTTTGATTAGTTGAAAGTTTAAAAAGCAAAGCTTGATGGCTGACAATAGCACAAAAGTAGAGTATAGAGCTACGACATCCGTCATTTACGAAATTACTCGGCTTCTATTCTTGTAGCACGATTTGGGTTTCGAATACATAATGTTAGTTTTGCTCTTTTATGATAATCGATCTACTTTACATATTTATAAGAATCTAATGTATTATGAAAGAACCAAACATATTGAAACCGATTGTCACTTCATTCGTGAGAAAATCCTTTTTGGCCTTATTTAGCCTCATTATCTACTTATTGAAGAACACATTACCGATATCTTTACTACGGCTTCGCAACTCGGGATTTTTAATGAACTAGTTAGCAAGATGAGCATGAACATCATTCACACTCATCTTGAGGAGGAGTATTAGATTGTAAAGCAATCAACGTATGCAAATTGTTAATGACTGCCACATGTGAAAGTTTATTATTGTTTTTGAGATTAGTTTATTAGTTTGTTAAAACTAATTATACGAGTTAACGATTAGTTACGGGTAATTAATTTTTTAAACATGTATAAAAGACACCTACACCGGATGTAATCGACTTGAGTTCTTTAAGTTGAATAAGAATCAACTTTAACAAATTTTCTTTTTCTTCTTTCTTTTTCCTTCTTCACTCGATCATAAAAATTAACATTTGTATCTTCAAAAGTAAAACATTTATTTTACAATTTTAAAACACTCTCTATGGAGCATATTTAGCAGGAAAATAATGAAATATGAAAATAATTTAGTGAACAGTACAACATAAGAAATATTATATGTTTTTTTTTTGAAATATATTTCTAAATCTAACAAGCCTGAAAATACAGAAAAAGAATTATAAAACAGAAAAGTAAAAGTCCTTTTCTTTGTGCTAACAAGCCTTAACTCCCCAATCCAGCCCAAGTCAATAACCCAACCCCATTACACGTCAATCTAAAAAGCCCAAGCCTAGGTGGGTCATCAATCCAACCCCCTCCAAATGCACTTTCATTTTCCCGCCTTCTTAACACACGCACACAATTCAAAAAAAAAAAAGAAAAAAAACACAACACATGCACACACTTACAGTTGAAAATTTTACCATAAGTCCATTACTTCTCACAACAGAAAACCAGAATCCCTAATTTCGCAGTGAAAATGTCGACGTGGCAAATATTCTCCGACGCGGGAAACAATTTCCGATGGGAAGTCTCCGGTCGAATCATCCACACCGAATCTGAACCTAAACCAAACGGAGCCCTAATCTCCCCTCCCAGCTCCAAAACTCGCCTCCCTTCCATGGCTGATCTCTTACTCCAAGGTATTTCATTGTATATATATAATCAGTATGTGTATGAATACGCGTATAATACATGTACTTTATGCATGGATTGTGTTTTTGTATGCATAAAGGATGCCCGAAGCTTCTAGAGAAAAGAAATGAAGATTACAGAAATGCACCCATTTTTTGTACCGGATTAGGGAAATCGGTTGCGTTAAAACAATCTTCGATTGCGAAAGCGTTATCTTTGCTCGGCGACGATGACGATGGTGCGTGCTTCTCTCTAATTATTTTAAAACCCTATCCACTTCGTTGCATACCTAAAATTTGGGGAATTTAAATTCCTCAATGATTTTTGCCTATTGAAGTATTCATTTAGTTTACTAAATATGACAGCGCTTGATTAATTTTTAGCCTTTTAAATTTATTTATAGATCTCTAGACCGATGTTAAGTACCTAAATTGGCGGGATTTTTGGTTTTGTGTTTATTATGTTGCTTAATTAGTAATTATAAATTCAAAATTTGGTACTGACGTCTTTAATTGGAGGATTAATGATGATAATGTAATATCATTTTTTAGTGTTCTGTTGGTTGTATTTCGTACTGTTGTGGAAATAGTTTTCTTTAGTTTTGTTTGTTTGACAGGTGAAGCACGTGGTGGAGATAATGAATTTGGCATTTCAAAGCCTCTGGAGAAAGGAAATGAAGATAATGGAAATGCACCAGTTTTCCGTACGGGATTAGGGAAATCAGTTGTATTGAAACAATCTTCGATTGCAAAAGCATTGTCTGTTCTTGGTGATGATGATGAATATTCCATCAATTCAGGTAAGTGCTTTTCTCTCTATGTTTTTTTCCTTGAGGTATTTGTTTATTTTATTAAGTTTGCAATTATAAGTCCTAAATACATCATTGTGTTCCTAAAATTTGAGGAATTTTTGGTTTTGGGTGATTTATGTTGTTGTATTGGCTTGTAAATGTTACTATTTTGGGAAGGGCCCCTCTTTTAGCTTTTGTTTGTTTTGGCAGGGGAAGTGCATGGTAGAAATAATGAATATGGTTTCTCTAATTCTCTTTTCCGTACTGGATCTGGGAAATCGGTTGATATATCTTCTGCTGGTTTGGTTAGAGCGAAGAGGATGTTGGGAGTGGAGGAAGAAAATGATAGTTCCGATTTTGGAGGATTTCAATGTCCAAGGAAATCATCCACTGTTAGTGAGCAATTTGGTCAGAGGGATTTATCGCATTCAGGGATGAAAGTCGGTATGAATGTGGTAATTGGTGATGATCTGCCTGTTCCTTGCTCTTCTTTAGGTTCTATGTCTGGTAAATTAGAAAGCAAATTGGCAAAGGAGGTCAATACAAACTTGTCGCGATCTGAAATACAAAATTCTGCTCCCAAACCACCTCCAATTAAATTCCATACTGCTGGTGGAAGATCCTTATCTGTTTCCAGTGAGGCGTTGAAACGTGCAAGGAGTCTTCTTGGTGACCCAGACATAGAAACTTTCTTAAACCAGGGAGATGCAGTTGAGCCGGGCCTCTCAGTTTTTGAAGATAGTAGCTTTAAGGACGCTTCATCAAACAAGGAAAATTATTTTTACTCTGCATTTACCCATCCAATATCCTCAAAGAGTAAACATATCTCAAAAACTTTCATTTCGCCTCTTAAATCTTCTGCAAACCATGTCCAGTCATCCATTAATTCGAAAAATATTATTTCGGGGAGTAACTTAATAAAGAAATTTGATGCTGTTCACAATGACAGCATCTGTGAGTTTGATAACAATGCAATTTATATACAGAAGCCCTTAAGGAATGGGCTGTGTGCATCTAATACAACAGTTGCTAATTCTCTGGATAATGGTACTGGTTCAAGGATGAATCCACTTCAAAGGTCATTGCACGTGCCATTGGCTGATATTTCAAATACAAATGGCACAGCTTATGCAAATAATAGACAAGCTAATGGAGAAAAGCGAAAACTTGGAAGGGGAGGTTCTATTTCTTCATTTAAGAAGCCCCGAAGTTCGAAATTCACCACCCCCTTGAACAGGAATCTCTCACTTGTTCCCAGTGGTAATTCACGAGGGCTTTTAAATTGACTTCCTTCTTATTGCATCTGCTATCAAAATTTAGGCTTCCCATTCAAGGTATATGTTCCAACAGGTTTATCTACTGTGTCATATGAAAGTTCCAGCTGTAGAAGAAAAGTTTCCACTAGATATCCTTTCCAGGTTCCCAGAATGTATATCAAGGAATATTTTGGAGGGCATTTATCAGATAAACGCCAGGTATATACATTTTCAACATAGTTATTTATGTTTGTTGAGGTTAATGTTGGTTATTATCACTGAAGATTTTTTATTTGTAGTTGGAGCCCTTTACAGATCAAGTAAGACAGATCAAATCAAATAATGCAGATAAGTACATGTTTTGCGATGAATCTGGCCCAGATAGCATTGGAGCAGAAGCATTTTATCACATGTTGGTTCAGTCTGGAGCTTTGTCACAATATGCGTCTAAACAGTAATTTTCCGTTCTCTCTTTTCATATTCCACTGGGAGAGTTTTTTTTTTTTTTTTTGGAGTCAAAATAGTCAGTTTGTGAAGTTTGTAAGATTTTTCTTCAAACTTTGGACATGAATGTTGCGAGCATAATAATAAATGTTTGTTGCACCAGTAATTGATGTGGATTTTCGCAAGGTTGCTTAGTTTTGCTCAGATTGATTTCATGTTGTTGTCAGCAATTCAATTCTATTTACAGTTTTTGGGACCATTCCTTTAACTTTTTAACCAATGCTCTTATATACAGAATGATTTTTTTTTGACCTGTCGCTTTGCATTTTATTAACTGATTCTGTTTCCCATTTAACCATCAAGGTGGGTTACAAATCATTACAAGTGGATAGTTTGGAAACTTGGATGTTATGAGAGATGCTGCCCAGTAAAATCTGCTGCAAAATTTTTGACAGTCTCCAATGTGCTTGAGGAATTGAAGTATAGGTATTTGAACTTGTTCAAGCTAAAGTTTCTCTTGAGTTTAGGAGACATTTGTGACAACCACATACTATTCATTTTCACAGATATGAGAGAGAAGTAAATCATGGCCATAGATCCGCAATTAAGAGAATTCTGGAAGGGGATGCACCACCTTCTTCAATGATGGTTCTATGCATTTCCTCAATCTACTTCAGTTGGGAACCAAAGGATGAGGTTCCTTCAGTGACATTGAATGGGGCTGAAAATAGTATTGCTGCAAAACTGGAGCTGACCGATGGGTGGTAGGAGACTGCCAAATTTAATATTATGCACTCAACAGTTAATTTCCTTTGAAGTGTAAAAATATCTTTGTTCCACAGGTATTCAGTGGATGCACTTCTGGATATATCACTGTCAAAGCATCTGGCAGCTGGGAAACTGTTTGTGGGGCAGAAACTTCGAGTAGGATATTCGTTTCTGTGTTTTTCGCATCCTTTCCTATGATTGAAGCCTTTTCAGAATGCCTTTGCTCACTTCCTATTTATTTATTTTGTCCTCTTACGAAGATATGCGGAGCAGTATTATCTGGTTGGGTTGGCCCTGTTTCACCCCTCGAGGTTCTTGCAGGCTTTAGATTTCTTAATGGAGTTGAATTTTTGCATCTTTTTACATCCTTTTATTACCAAACTTCCTCACATGTTGGCTTAAATTTTAGGCATCAAAGACTGTTAATTTGTCTTTGCATATAAATGGGACGTATAGAGCTCATTGGGCTGATCGAATGGGATTCTGTAAGCTTCTTTTGGATTATGCAAAATCTTTTGCTTGAGATTTACGTTGGTGTGGCATATTTGTGAATCTTCCTCTTTACCTTCTTATGCATAACTGTCTGAATATTTTCCATAGGTAAGGGAATTGGTGCTCCTTTGGCTTTTAGGTGTATCAAGAGTAATGGCGGTCCTGTTCCTCGTACGTTAGTTGGAGTCAGACGGATATACCCTGTTCTATACAAGGAGAGGTAACATGAAATTAATCATGTTTTGCTACTTAATTGGGGTGCATATGGTGTTTTTCAGTTTGGTAATTTTTCTACTTTTCTCACTCTAGAATAACTGATGGTGGATCTATTGTGAGATCAGAGAGAATGGAGGCTAAACTGGTGCAATTGTATAACCAAAGGTGACTTTTGTTCTACTGGCATAGTCATTTTGGTTTTTGATAGATCAGCCTAGTGTATTTTAATTAGTTTTTTTTCTGACTGACATATGGTGATCCTTTTCCTAAAAAGGGAAAAGGTCGTCACTGCATATCAGTGCGACCCCTGTATATTTACAAGTATTTTCAAATCTAATATAGTAGCCAAAACTTGTCTAGATTTCTAACTGAAATACAAAATATCATACTTAATGCTTTTTTTATGCTGCAGGCGCTCAGTTGTTATAGAGAGCATTGTTTCTGAGTTTCAAAGATGGAGGAAAGGTTCCAACATATATAATGATAGTGATAGTGAAGAGGGAGCAAAAATATTGAAAATTCTTGAGACATCAGCTGAACCAGAAGTTCTAATGGCAGAGATGAGTCCACAGCAACTAGCATCATTTGCCTCTTATCAATCAAAAGTAGAGGTGGGTTCAGATGGTCTCCTTGAAACATTGGTCTATATGTGGAGAGTGATATTAACCACGGGAAGTCTGACTTTAGGTGACAAGGCAACTGGACATGGAGAAAGCAATTGGGAAAGCTTTACAAGATGCTGGCTTAGGGGAGAGAGATGTGACCCCATTTTTTAGGGTCAGGGTTGTTGGGTTAACTAATTATCAAGGAAAGGGCTCCCCTAAAGAAGGCTTAATAACAATTTGGAACCCTACAGAGAAGCAGGTGAATCTAATTGCTCAGTTCTGCTTTGTATTTTTATTTATGCCTAGCTTCTTTATATTGTGCTGTTTGCTTGCATGTGTATGGATCCTTCTTTGTATGCTTATATATAACTAAAGACTATATATGTTGCATCCTTTGTTTCAGCACCTTCTGCATTATATGCCTCCCTAACATTGAATATATTGCAAAAACTTTTTCCTGAGTTTCTTCACAATTATTGATCAAATTTACTAACCATTGTAACAGCAAAGTGATCTTGTTGAGGGACAGGCTTATGCTATAGCAGAACTATTCCCCGTGAATTCTGATTTAAATACACTTTACTTACAAGCAAGAGGATCTACAACCAAATGGCAACCTTTGTCTCTCCAGGCAACGCAACAGTTTCAGTAAGCTTCTATATGCTTTGTATGTTATCTTAACAATTGAATCTAACTAAAAGGTTGTCCTTTGTAGGCCCTTTTTCAGCCCTCGAGAATCAGTATTATTATCAAATTTGGGTGAAGTTCCTCTTTGTCGGTAAATTCCACATTTCAATCTTTTCCAATTTTTTTTTTTTTTTTTACCTGTAGAAATTTGGTTCCCATTATCTTTTTATTATGCAGTGAATTTGACATTGCTGCACTTGTGTTGCACATCGGGGAGGTTTATACAGCTGCTCAGCAAAAGAAACAGTGGGTATTTGTGACTGATAGCTCCATTTCTACATTGGATTCAGAGGATATGTCAAAGTCCTTACTTGCCATCAGCTTTTGCTCACCATACATAGATAACGATTCTTTTCTACCAATCAACTACAATCTTGCTGGATCCACAGTGAGTAAATCAGGTCCTTTTATGGTCTACCCCAGAATGCATTAGTTTATGAATCTAGTATGAATTGATTCATGGCGACAATTTCCAAGTGTCAATTAGAAGGATGGATTATTTTATTAAAGTAAGCCATTTTACCCTTTTTTTTTTTTTTTTTTTTTTGAACTGAGAACTTCTCATTTATTATCTTTGCAGGTTGGCTTCTATAATCTTATGAAGAGAGCAAAGGACCAAACAAATCATCTCTGGATAGCTGAAGCAACAGAAAATTCGACCTATTCTTTGAGTTTTGATTCCTCAAATTTTTCGCACCTTAAAAATGCTGCTGCCTCTACTCAAAACTGGGCCAAGATCTCTACCTCGGTGAACAATATAGAATTTGATTATGATAGTTCAGCTTTGGTATATGATGCCTCCTATTTATTTACTGCCTTGCTTGTTTTACTTTATGCAGATTATTGATAAACTTAAGGAGAAGGTTTTATTTATTATTGGAGATTGAAAAGGCTAGAAGTTGGAAATGGCCACTTTGAACTGACAAGTAAGCCTCCTTATATCTCAATTGTATCTTTATTTTTGTCAATTGACTTTAATTACGGAGAATTAGTCTCTTTTTTGCAGCAGTAAGATCTTAAAATCCACTCATGCCAGTGGGTTTGTTACTTGATATTGGATAACAAATTGTTAATAAAGTTAGCTTAGTATCCACTCATATTCTTTTGTGAATAATTCTGCTAGCTTTCCAATGTCCTATTCTCATTGTTTTTCTTACTTATTTGAGGTATTTTATTGAATATTCTATCTTTGCCAAAAGAAAAGAGGTATTTTATCGATTAACTTGTATAGGCTTTTTGGATCTGTCCTTATTGATTGACAATAGGTATAGTTCAGATGCAGAAAAGGATTTCATATTACTGCTAGTAAGCAGCTGGTGAGCTCCTCCAGTCGAAGCGTTGAATCCTTGAAAGACCTTCAGCATTATTTTTTGGTACAACATCGGTTTGCGGTTGATTTGTCAGCCTTTCCACATGTATCCCAGGTTTATGAATTTGTTACATTCTCGATGCTGATTTTTGCTACACCACCAAGGTTTGAGCAGCTGAAGTTCTCCAGGAGAAATCTGTAAATATCAATAATGCAAGGTTGCCTCCTTCAGTTCCAGTTCATCTGATCACTTCACCGGCATTTGTTAATTGTCAATGTTGAGTACAGTGGAGAAGGGCTTGAGTTAAGCATCACGGAATTGGTTTAGCATTCACCGGATGGAGATGGTCTCTATGCGTGGAAACATTTGTTGGTTTAGTGTACAATCATTAAATTCAACCAAAACATCTATGTAAATAATTAAGGACCAGTAATGTTTGATTGAAGGCCTATGTAATGTCAAAACTCAATTATTATGTCGTGTTATAAAATTATAGAAATTGTAAAACAATCCCTTAAAGACAATTTTAGCATCAGGTTTTTATCTAGTCCAAATCAAATATGTTGGTTTCCCTTTGGTTGCATGAAATCTTCTTGTTAGAACAGTACCATGTCAATCTCATTTCTTGTCTGCAAAGAGGCTTTGGAAAGAAGATAATGTTAATCTACTGGTGAGTCATGTTATCTTTGACTCTGTCCTTCACTCGACGGTGGATGATTTGTTTTGATCAACCCCTTCGTTTGATTACCAAAGGATTAATGCAATGGGAAATTAAGATTGGTAATCATGTAAAGCAGCAGGCCGCTCATCTGTGGTTCAAGGGGGAAAAAGGAAAAAAAAAAAAAAAAGAAAAAAAAAAGCAAACTGCTCATCTTTTGTCTACTGTCCTTCCTATTTTTGGGCATAAAGTGTTTCTTTCCAGTGGCTCTGGCTTTTGCATGTTAGTCCATGTCGTACCCTAATTGATTCTTGCTCTGTCCATGCATATATTCTTTGGAAATATTAAAAAGAGAGGCATCTCTGCCATCAGGTTTGAATTTTACCCTCCAATGGGTTGCGTCAAACCGTTTATCTATGCTTTAAATGGCACTCTGATCCATTGGCTAATCTCAAGGATGATTTTTTGGGTCAAACTGAAACAAGCCTGATTAGCCTCTTACACGTTTGATTCCCTCGTTATCGTTTCCTTCTACCTTTATTTTGTTTTCTGTATATATCTGACCTTATTAGAAGATAGCAGTGGAGAAGATAAAGAAAAGAAAACTAGGATTAGCGGTGAGGACTGAAGAGGAGAAAGAGAGGAAGAAAATATGGTAGATGAGAAGAAGAAGAAGGTGCTAAGTGGCTGCATCAAGACTAGCAAGGGGGCTTGGAGAGTTCATAGAGTGACAAAAGATGGTTGCGTTGTCACCAAATTTCGCTATCCTACTGATATGGAGCGGAAAAAGAACCAGCAGAGGGAGCGTCAAAGGCGAGCAGTGGCTAAGAAAATCTTTGAAGGGCTTCGAAATCATGGAAACTACAAGCTTCCAAAACATGCTGACAGCAATGACCTTCTCAAGGCTCTCTGTGAGGAAGCAGGCTGGCATGTTGAGGATGATGGCACCATCTGTAGGAAGGTGAACTCAGTTTAACTAACCTTCTCTTTAATATCTGTAATCTTATTCATCTGCATTGTTAAGGAAAATCTCCCAGTTAAGTTTTCAGACTTTTGTTCTGGTAATGATGCTCTTCGTTGCTGCTGAGTTTCTTGTCTCGTCAAATACTTTTGCTGTCCTTATTTGCCTCTTCAAGCACTGCTCTTATGCTTCCTGTGCTGATTTAGCCTTTCTACTCTCCTCTTAACTTTGTTCCTTAGCTTCTTCTGTTTGAACTGCTTTGATTTCCTTAAACGTTATGCTCTGTGCCTTTTCTGCTTCTATGTTAATTTAGCTTTTCCATGTCACTAAACTTTTTGAATCTTATTCTGCACTAGCTGCATGCATTTCCTTGTCTGTGGGACTCTGTTTTTCTGGTTTGGCTTTGGTTTACTTGGTTTTTATTTGCTGTGATCTGTACGTATCTTAGGAGTAGATCTTCCTATTTTTAGTTTTGATATGTTGTTGTTTTATTACATTTTGCTTAATTCTTCTTCTTCTTCTTTTTTTTTGGGGGGATAGGTTCTTCATGAAGCTAAAGTTGCAAGCTACCATGATGCCCCACCAGAAGATCATGGTTACTGTACTTGCAGAAATTTTTTGGGTTTAGAATATGGAGCATTGACACTGTGCACCAATTTACCAATTCAAGAGTGCCATGGAGGAAATGATGTCAACCTCACCCTTTCACTCTAGCTTTCAAATCCATTTCTCTAGTGCTCACAAGAGAAAGAAATAGTATTTAATTACTTATACAAACATCAATATGTAAATAGTTATAGGATTATCAATATGATGTTCTAATTAACCTATCTTATTAAGGCAAGCAGCGTTGTTGCCTATTTTGTTAAATAGATAAACATGATAATCATTGGAACGAAATGTACTTCTTGTGACATCAACTTCTGCATTCAAGCAGCTTTATATTCTTAGATGCTCATGTTCTTAATAGCTGACATTTGGCATCCCTGTATCAAATATGCTTCTTGTGCTTTTAGCCTTTTAACTTCCGCCGTTCCACATGCAAGCAGCTTCATATTCTCGGGCCTGCTGTTCTTCCTTCAAAATCAACTTGACCATCCTATCCTGTATTCAAAAAGTGCATTTACTTAGGAGGAAAGTGCCTCCATGGTTGCATAAGTATGTTGTTAGCATTTATCTAAATCTGAAATTTCAAACAGAAAGTCCAAAAGAAATCAGTAATCGTACGATCCAAAAAACGTGGGTTAATCCACCAAACGTTGTCTTTATACAAGTGGGCTAAAGTTGATTAATTAACCTATACCTAAAATGACAAAATGTGTAGTCGTTGAGCATTCTTCTAATGGATGAGTTTCATTAGCATGCAGTTTTGCTATGACACACATCTCTACACTGATTCTCTTCCAATTGCCACAGAAAATGACCTAACGTTGTGGACAGGCACATTTGCTTTTACAAAAAATGGAATAGTAATTCATTCCAGACATCAGGTACACCAGGCAAGCACCAATGTATGCAATCAGAGTAAGACTTAGGGTTTGATAATTGTTCAGGGCTCAATGTCTCCCAGAATTTTCGATAGATTGAAGGGTGGCCATCTTTACGATACTCTGAAAGCTGTGTAATATTGAGAACTGAAACCTTCGATCCCAACCTGCCAAGAACCTTTTCCACCATGCGCATTGTAGGCAAGTCAGAACCACTACCCCAGTACCCCTCCTTATCAAGTGGGATCTTCTCATTATAGCAATTTCCATCACTTCCAGGCTCCCATTCGCGGCTCCTGAAATATGAAAATGGTTCAATAACAACATGAGAGGAGGATTCTCGAATTTGCCAAGGGTGACAAGCTACTAGAACCTTGACCAGGGGCATGCTAGAAGCGTGGCAATCTTGAATTGCAAAAAAACAGGACTTATATCTTTTACTTTTATCTTGATTTTTCAGCATTCAAACAGGTTTTGAGATTGCCTCTTGTATATCTGCACGGATGCATGAGGCTAAGGCAAAGGCAACTTAAAATCCTCTATTACATTGAAATGCAAGAAGTATGGGACCAGCTAAACTGCTCGGACCCTCTTTTACGTTTGCAGCAGCTTATGTTTTATGGGCTGCATAACAAGAGCATCAAGGACATCTAAATGCTTATAATACAATAAAATGGGGGTGGAAAAAGGGCAAAAAGTTGTGCCCAGTAGCATGTTGCTTGAAGCTGGGCATTAATGCAGGACGAGAAAAGATTGGCTATTCAGATTGGAAAACCACCTAAAATAACAAGCAACAATTCATTCTTTTGAAATTAAAAGAAAAAGGTGGCAGGCAAGGAAAGTAGAACACGGGCAATGACAAAGTTATGATTGAGTTGGCAGCAATCCTTCAGTTAAACCGATTCCTACAGCTCTAAACTTTATTCCGAATTCATGCCACTAACTGGGGACAGTCAGAATTCTCCTACTGTTGGTCACAAGTTAGATGGCACCAGTAGTCAGCTCTGTGGTTTAAATACTGAGAAGCCTATGCAGTTATATTTAAGGGTCAAAGAGTCGGGATTAATTTCACAGGCAACGGTGCATGTCAACAGTGGGAATTTGAAAGATATATACATAACAGGGATCATACTCACCAGAGATGCGTTGGAGACATGGTAACAAAGAAGACTCGTTTCTTCTGGGAATCAACTTTAGAAGTCACCCAGTCAGCCCAGGCCCCCATAGCCAACTCCATAGCTCCTAACCCATCTAATTCTTCACAAGCTCCGTTCTCTTCAGCACTCCATCTGCAAATATCAAGAAGCTGGATTATTGCACCAAATTATAACCAATTCTATAACTGGATGAAAACTCATTTATTCTAAACTGATGAAAACTCAATGGTGTAGTACTCACAAAAGCTTAACAGGGCCTTGTCTCCACCACAGGTAAGAATTGAAAACTAGTATATCTGCATGCTCCCACTTTGATGAATGCTTTAGAACTGAATCAGGACGCATTATCCGTTCATCCAATCTGTGATTCACTGGGTCATCAGAATTAGAATCAACAAGAAGAGGAGCCCAGAGAAATTCAATAGTTGCATTGTATTCCTGCAAACAAACACAAAACAATGAAGATGACCTTTCAATTTGTTATCAACCTGAAACAATTCATAAAGATATTGTGGAACTAAACTTCACAGACATTTTCTTCAATTAGTTACATAACAAGGCTAGTTTAATCACCTAGCAAGGTTTTTACTTACCTCGGCCCTGAAGACAGTAAGAGGGGCATTTGGTGACATGGATCTCTTATCTGCTGGAATCACTGACTGTAGCAAACACACCATTGATATCCATTGCCCTCTATTTAGCGAATCCCCCACAAACATTAGTCTCTTCCCTCTCAACTTCTCCCACATTTCAGACACATTCCATCTATAACACCAAATAAAAACAACAATGAGAACTAATCAAATCTCATTTAACATAAAACACCCCAGAACTGTGAAGGTCGCATATCATGTTCAATAAACAGAATGGTTCAACTCAACAACAACTACTTTAAATAAGAGCATTCTTTCACCAAGATAAGCGAAGTTAAGAATCCAGATTTAGATTCCAGGCATCAGCTGACGGGGTGAATTTATTAAGGTTTTATTTAGTTCTATTCACTTCAATTCTACATAATCTTCAATTTTAAGCTTACTAAGACTTTGAATTCACTTATCTGAAGTACATGGAATTCCAACTTCAACACTAAAAAAGAAGGCACGCAGGCAATAAGGGCATCTAAAACTTAAGGGTTTTCATTTCCATGCTTCCAAAAACATCCAACTACACCTAAAAACAAAACGCAACACTCATAGTTCAAAATGAACTAAAAAGGACAAGTACCTCTTCAAGTTGCAATCATGAGGTTGCCACCTCCAATACTGATACCTCAAATCAGACCTTCCATGCTTATGGCACGCCAGTTGATCAGACATGTAAGGACAATCAGACTCATTGTAAAGCGGATATGACTCATTATCGAACACCCATTTGCCTGAAAAAACGTCACAACTCTCCAAACTCTCTCTCTTTCGACCCTTTTCCTCTTTCCAGTCACCCCATTTGATTCTCTTACCAGTATACTCTCTAGTTGAGTTGCATCTATTAAACCTATCCAAAAACACTGAAAAAAAAAAAAACCCAAAACAGCAAATGAAAAAAGACTAGAACTTTACACAATTCTTACATTCAAGAAAGTGAAAAACACAGAAAACATTGAACCTTTTCAAAGATATTAAATACCTGGTGCAAGATTTGGCTGAATGTAAGTCACTGTCGTGGTATGTTGTTGATGGTTCGGGACTTGATTATTTGGGTTTTCTTCATGGATTTGCTGAATGCTACTTTCATTGTAAATAATTGAACAAATGATAATACCAAGAAAAATAAATGCTACTAAAGGAAAATGGGATTTTTTCCTATTCCATCTCTGCATCATTTCAGCGAATATATTTGATTTTCAGGCATAAAAAAAACCTTGAACTCTGTCTTGAGACTGCAAAAATATTGTGAGAGAGAGACAGTGTCGTGTAGTAAAGTTTTAGCGTGTGTGATATGTAGTAGATTTCATGGATGGTTGAGAGCAGGTTGGCGTTGGTATCTTGCGTTCGGTTAGATCGTTGCCAGCTGTGATTTACCGAGGATTGGTCCCACAGTTATGAAAGTGATAGATCATGATGTGTAGTTAGGGTGCCATTTATAAATAAGATCGGTGGTTACGAGAAGCACTGTATCTTTGTGGGTCTGCTTCTTGACGTTGGTCTCTTTCAATCTTTGAACAATAATCACGGTATCTTTGACATAATTTGAATAGGATGATGCCCAAAAGACCATCATTTATTCGAAGGAAAAACTTACTAGGAGCAGTTGCGGCAACATTAGAAATAGGGTAATAACAGTAATGCGTGTTTACACTCACGAAATAGTTTTTTTTTCGAAAAAAAGATTTTTTTAATAAATATATGTTTACAAATTCCAATTTTTTTTTTTTTTAAAATAGAGAATAAGGATATCATTTGGCTTATCTTAACAATAATAAAAATGAACGACATAAAACATTAGGTAAATTAAATAAGTCTTTATTTTTGACGTGGAGAATTTGAAAAATAACTATTTTTTCATAGTTTTTCAACAAATTGAAAAATTCGAAAACATGGGTTTTTAAGAAAATTTTTTTTATTTATAATTGGTTAGTTGGTTTGATAATAATTTGTATTATTCATTGATTAGACTGATATTCCAAATTAAAAAATTTCAATTTGAATATTATAATTATTTTTTGAGTTATAATTAAATCCATCGATACCGTTTATCAAATTTTAGATGTATTCTCGCATGTTATGTTATGATATTGACATAATCTAACAAATAAAAGATACATGAATCTTTTTTCAATATTATTTTTATTTTTGACCAAAATGATCAAATTACAAAATACCTGTTAGGATTTTTGGTTTGATTAAGTATTTTTTATCCTCTTTCTTTTCTTCCTTCTCTTCTTTTTTTCCTCTCCTTCCTTCTCTTGCAGCTCCAACTGAAATTACAAATTGATCTTGACCCATTTTGATGCTATGTGCCCACGAGTCCACGACCACACCAGATTCGAGACATGCTCATTTAAAAATTTTTATAATATTTAAAAAATAATTAATAATATGTATAATAGTTATTTTATTAATTTATTTTGATGAGAGCTATACATATATATATATCCCCGAATCTACTAAAAATAATATAAGAAGATTTCTATGTTATCAACTAATATTATGTACGATAATTACTCTTTTTAGTATTATAACATTTCTCATGCTTACCGTATCTTCTTTTTTCCTCAACTTGGCCGACCCAAAATCTGAGATCTTTGGGCAAAAATCATCACCTAAGAGTATATTTTCCGGCTTGATATCACAATGCAACACCCACTCCAAACGCTCTTCATGCAAGTATGCAATTGCTCTTGCTGCACCAAATGCAATCCTATATCGGATCCCCCAATCAAGCATCGGTTTGCGCCCGTCAACAGCCAGCCGACCCATCTGAGCTTCGGTCCCTGAAGATGCTACCGGACCCGCAAGGAACAGGTATCTGTCAAGAGATCCATTAGGCGCATACTCATAAACTAGAATCTTTTGGCCTTTCTCCGCACAAAAGCCCCATAGCCTGACCAAAATGAGATGGTGCATCCTGGCAATGATTGCAACCTCTACCCAAAACTTGGCATCCCCTTCAGTGACATGTTTCAGGCACTTGACTGCAACAATTCGCTTATCAGGTAGCTCTCCTCTATAAAAATCACCAAACCCACCTTTTCCTATAGCATTGGAGAAGTCGATTGTGGCTGCTTTGAGCTCTGCATATGTGAACCTTTTATTTAGTTCTTTTGATAGCGTTTTATGGTTTACTAAATAATTTTTTATGTCCTATGAGAATGTTTTGGTTTGTTTGGTATGTCAAAGCATGGCTGGGAATTTTGAAGAGTTTATAAAGGGAAAAATAAAGTGCGAGAGACAGAGAGGGGAAAAAAAGAAAGAAAGATAAAAAGAGTTGTTCGGACATTTTTCTTTTCATGTTCTTGTCAAGCGCGCTCGAGATTTGGTTAATAAGTTCGGCCGTCTTATTACAAATTAAAAAAATAATTATGATACTTAAATTAAAATTTTTTTACTGCAGACAACTAGTCTCCAAGTAACGTATAAAATATGATACTATTGAAGCGATTAGCTTTTATAATTAGTAAACTTGTTTTCTAGAAAAAAAAATGAAAAAACTGAAAAAATTTCACAAGTAAACACAACTAAAATTCTTTTTTAAATAAAGTAGCACAATTATAATTATCCCATTAAATGTGATAAGACGAATATTTCATGATTTGAATTTTTTTCTATAAAAAATACCACATCATATAATAAGAAAAACTTAAAAAAATAATAATAATAATACTCCTAACATTACACTTAGGTTGTATTTGGTTTAGAGTGAAAAAAAAAAATTAAAAAGAGAAATTTTAAGGAGCTTTTCCCAAATAACAATACTTAAAAACTTATTTATCACATAAGCATCAAAATAACAATAACTAAATCTAATATATATAGAAATAAAAAATACATTTTCTTTTTCTAGTAACTAAAAAGATATTATAATTTAAAATACTGAAACTTTTCATATTACTCTCACTAAACCCTAATTTCCACCAAAAATAAGTCTACATGTCAAATAATTTCTTTGATGCTAGTACTAATAAATGGCTTATTTCAATGGGATCAAACACAAATCATGTGTTACACACACACACACACACACACACACACACACACACATATATATCTTCATTTCACGTTAAAGATAAAAATAATTTTGTTTGATGTCAAAATAATAAGATTTAATTTTTTTCAACAAATATAACTTTAGAATTTTAACCCTTCATATTGACAAAAAAAATTATCTAAATACCAACTCATTTATCATTAGATCAATGACTTATTAGTAAACACAAATTATATTTAGTTTGCACAACAACTCACAATTGCAATCTTCTAATTACCTACCTTTTCTCTTGACATACTGCTCAACGTTGTCTCCTATAACAATTCCAAATGATAAAAATCAATAACATCTTTCTATCCAAACAAAGCTCTTTCCATGTGATTTTTTTGAAATTTTTTTGTACCAATGTTGATTTGCCGAACTTCTCATCGAATTTCAATAATATTGTCCTTGATCTTCTTGGCAACTATTTCTAAAGTGAAATTATTTTCGATGAGTTTTGATCAGTTTCTATCCACAAAAAACTACATTTCAAGTGAAAATATCTTTGATGACTGATGACTCGAATCTAAGTTCTCAACCAACCCAAACGAGTTGACTGACATGCTTGATCATATGTTAGTAGTTGGTTATAATCCATTCAAGCCGAAGCTCATTGCCTGGAGATGTTGACAATTTATCAGACCTAGAGATTTTGTTCCTTCTACGAATCTTAATGGCGAATGTAGACTTAACTAGGAAAAACTCTTGTCTCTAAATAATCTTGGTTTGTCAAACAATTTCGTCAGTAACAAGATTCTCAGCAAATAAACAAAGAGAAAAGGAGCGGATTTATTATTTATTTATTTATTTTTGTTACAGGATTGACATTTTTTTAAACAACGTTATTGATATTCTAGACAAGAAAACAAAAATTTTCATCTGATGATAGAGTTAAGAACAAATTCTATTTCCATCTAGGACCCCAAAATTTGTTGGTGGTCCCTTGAACAAATTCCTGACAAGAAAACAAAAGTTAGAACCTCAATACATTGAAGATACATTTACATAGGATATGTCAAAGATTAATAATGTAAGCATAAAGAAGTTCATTCCACACATCTGGAACTCCGGGAAGACACCAATGTATACAATCTGCATAGCTGCTAGGGTTAGATATTTGTTCTTCAGTTAACGGTTCCCATTGCTTTCTATACGCTGATGGATGACCTTCTTTTCTGTATTCTGATAATTGTGTAATGTTAATCATTTCTACATTTAATCCTCTTGTTTTCAAGTCATCAAGAGTTTTCTCAACTACACGCATCATTTCTTGACAGGATGCTTGTCCCCTATACCCTTCTTTCAAGATTAGTTCTGTCTCATTGTAACAATTTTGACCTTCAGCTCCACCCCACTCTAAAGCCCTGAAAAATATGTGAATATTAGGATCTTGATCTTGAAAATATGTTAGCTAAATAGATCATAGACAAGACAGCATTAGGTGAAAATTGCAGTACTTTTGGTGAGTTGGCGACAAGCTGACGAAGAACATTCGTGTTTTGGTCCGGTTTACATGAACCTCTAACCAATCTGACCATGTCTTTAAAGCCATCTCATAAACTCTTGGCATCTCTACCTTTTTGTAAATTCCACCTGGGCTTTCAAATGATCCCCACCTAATGATAAATTTTCAAGTTAGATTACAATTGACAAAGTGCAATATATGAAAAAATAGATGTAAATTATGTTCTGACAAAGACATTGTGATGAACTTTACAAGAAAGGAGATAAATGTACTTACAAGACAGTCATTTGGGCTCTTCTCCACCAAAGGTAGCTATTGAAAACAAGAATGTCAGCATTAGTCCAATGCCTAGCATGCTTTTCAATGCCCTGAACTCTTACAGTCCGATCATCTACATGGTGGTTTACTGGATCATCAGAATTTGATTCCACCAGTAAAGGAGCCCAGTAGAATTCAATTGTTGCATTATATTCCTGAATCACATTAACAAATCCCATAAGCTAAAAAATCACAATTTTACAGAACTTTTCAGCCCAAGCCCATAAGGTAACTAACAAAACAGAACTGTTCTAAGTCCAGCGGGCTCATAAAGGTTGATTGGGCTTTTCGTTAGAAGATAAAAATTAGAGAAAATGGGTTTTATGTTGAGAGTGGGATTTGAACCCACGCCCTTTCGGACCAGAACCTTAATCTGGCGCCTTAGACCAACTCGGCCATCTCAACAATTGATGACCATGTTCTATAGTTAATGAAATTAAATAAAGATGAGACTCACAGTGGTTTTGAAGATGTACAATGAGTTATTGTGGTGCTGATGCATAGATTTGAGCCCTGGAGGAATCACCGAGTCTACAAGACAAACCATTGAAACCCATTGGCCTCTGTTTAATGAATCCCCTACAAACATAAGCCTCTTATTCCTTAACCTTTCCAGCAATACGGTGGCATTGAACCTAGCTTGTTAACATGACACAAAGAAAAAAGAAAACATTCCACCCAAAACTCAAAAACCATATAACGAAACATGACAACCTGCATAATGCATATTATCAGTCACTCACACCAAAATAATTTACTAACTACTTAACTACTTAATTTTATATATTGATAAGAGATGGAGAGATATTTATGTATATGTATATATATACCTAGGAAGGTCACACTGGTGAGGTTTCCACCTCCAATTCTGATAGTTCAAGTCCTTTCTCCCAAACTTCTCACAAGCTAACTGATCAGACATGAAGGTACATTCTTTCTCTTTGTATAAAGGGTAAGATTTGTTATCAAAAACCCATTTTCCTGAAAACATATTGCACCTTGACAACAAAGCACCAGAACTTTTGCTTGCTGTCCTATCTTCTATCAGCAACTCACTATTTTGGGTGACATAGATGGCAGCTATGACTAGGAAAGTAACAAGAAGTGCAATAAGGGAATGGAAGCTGCCTCTGATCCCCCATGTTGCCGGAACCATCAGCTGCTTCTTTGCCATCTTCTCCTTGGTTGTAGAATAGTCTCTCTTTGTTTCCTTTCTCCTTTTTGAAGTTTTTTAAGGGTTGTTGAAAATCGTACGTCATGATTCCTTTTCAAAGATTAGGAGAACTAAGATTGGATTTTTGTTAGTTTGGCGAAAGCAATAGACACAAGGGCTGTCTGACTTGGATTACCAAAATACCCCTTTCATATTTTTTTGAACCATAAATACTCCGTTTCATTTTTGTCAATAGGCCATGTACTTGTAAAATATTTGTAATTATCCATCAAAATCTATCAGCATCCAGAACGTTATAATTAGCTTTATCCAACCTCTAAACGGCACTATCATGGTGGTGGGGCGCTATGTAAACAACATAAATAACTAATTTTATATTAATATTAGATCTTCTGTTAACTTTAATTAGATCATTAATTATATATATATATATATATTAAAAGTGGTTTGATGTTAAATATATTTTGTTAAAAAATATATTTTATATTTGAATAAATAAACAATAAAAACGTAGTATATAAAATTAAGAATGGACAGTTATCGTAAATTTTAGTTTTTGCATAAACTCTAAGTCAATTATTAAATTTAATATAAAAATTTAAAACAAAGTTCAACGTACTTAATGATATTAAAATCCATTAATAATATTAAAATATGAATTGTAAATGAGTAATTCAACATTAAATAAATAAATATTAAAAGAGTGATTTATAAAGTTAGAAATGAGTCATTTAATGAAAGATAATATTTTTTTAAAAAATAGCGTTGAGAGAGAGAGAGAGAATTGTTGTTGATGATGAGAAAAGGGTGGAGATGGCATTGAATTATGTATGTAAATATAAGTATATCGAGGGGCTAATTCGTAACTTGACGGATCACCCCAGCTGGGATACCTTATGTTTACTCAATTCTTTAAGGTTAGAGCTGAGTTGTTGTTGTTTTGTACGTCAGATAAACGGATATATGAGCAGTAGGTGAGGGTGGTTAATGTTTCAACGTCCACATGCGTTGCCTTGAAGTGCCCTCAAGACCTTTAAATTAATTATTTTATCAAATATTAATTCATACACATATACACGGATGCACTTGGAATTAATTCTATATAATTTCCTCAGCATATATACATATATATATATATATATAATTGTGTATTTATCAGCTAAAATTGCGTTCAATGATATATCCTAATTCATTCCATCAGCTTAAGATGAATAAAAGTAATTACATGATTAGGATTATGATTATAACTATAATTAATTTCTAGATCCTATGGACTTAGTTTGTAATGGCCTACATTGATGCAAATGAAACATCAGAAAAAAAACATGTACTACTTACTTCAGTTCTGTACATGTTAATTAATTAGTATCATGCACAAATTAATTGTAGGAGGGGGTCAGATAATGAGTTTGATTTTTATTAATTAATTAAATTAATCTTCATTAATCTTCAATTACTGGTGGGTTTCATCATGTTTTCCTCTCCAACAGACCTAATTATTCTGCATATATATATATATCTTTGATTATTAACTTGAACAATAATTATCTAATTTACTTCTTAAGTAACATGAACATGCTAGGAACTGATCTTTTCACTTGATTAAGATCCATCTCTTAATATTATGTCAAGCATACATATATGTTGCTATATATATATATATCTTTCATTATTAACTTGACAATAATTATCTAATTTACATCTTAAGTAACATGAACATGCTAGGAACTGATCTTTTCACTTGATTAAGATCCATCTCTAAATATCATTGTCAAGCACATATATATGTTGCTATCTATCATTTAATTAAGATGTATGACTTGGCCAGCTGCATCTTTTAGTACCAAAAAATTATGTAGCAACTTGGCAAGGGAAGGTATCTTAATTTCTCAGTTCGGTTTCTTTTCATATTATTATTCATTTACAGAAAGAAAAATAAATAAATTTTAGTCTCTACCCAAACTGAAATAATTTGGATAAAGAAATTACATATACCTATGCTTTCACATAGTAGAAAAGATTTAGATTAAAAAAAAAAGTACTTGGAAGACAATTAAGACCAGATGTGATCTTAAAATTAAGAATGTCTAAATTACATTGTGTATATGCTCAATCTATTGTAAAATTAATTAACTTAGCTAATTTTTATTCTGTATTAATTTATATTATTTTTCTTTAATTTTGACATGAGTTCAAATTAAACGACAAATAAATTGAACTACGAATAGACCTAATTCAACACAAAGTCTTGGGTTGTAGGAATGGACGTAAGTATTCTGATAGGATCAACGTCCATGTCTTGTTTTTGAAATGCATTAGGAAAATTGATTTGATGAGCTTGGAACAGGATCCGCTAAAGAAAAGCACAATTGTGACTTCATTTAACCTTTGTTAGCAAGTTCAAGCAGATTAACATAAAAAAAAACTAAATTCTTCAAACCAAATCTAGTTAATGAGGCATGATTTTAGCAATTAAGGACCATCATCTTTTCCTATAAATATTAGTCTCACATCATTGTGAAAAAAAAAAAGAACTTTTATATTAGAAATTTTTTGACTTCGAATATTTAATTTCTAGCAAAAGAAACTCCTAACTCGTCTATCTCAAATCTCTCTCATTCACATATCAAACAACACTTAAAATTTCATCTATTTGGACTTTGGCTATCTACGTATTAGCCACACGATTTATGTCGTGCTAGCATTGCTTGCTCTTCCTCCCATGCCTATGACTATTTGCATTCTTTCTTCTTGGTGGGTTGATTGTTTCTTCTATAAGTCATAACATTAGCTCTCTCGTATCCCGAATAACCCGTTAATCGGTCGTCCGATCGATTCTCAAGAACTCTTCACTATACATTATGTATTGTTACAATGTGAAATTTGTAAGGCAAAAGGTGAAGGTAATGATATGTTATAAGCAAATGATATCTTTTAAGTAAAGAGGAAATAAGAAATTAGCTTAAGGGAGGAGATGTAAGCAAGTCTTGACAAAGAGTACCTAGACAAGTAGTGCATTAAAGGAGTTTGGGGTAAAATGGACCTTTACAAAGAGGAATCTTAATTCTAATTTTAATATGAGACTAACAAATAAACCAAAAAAAAAACCCCTATTGAGTGAATGACTGACAAAGTATTTATGGAGATGGATGAGGTGTTATAACCAATTAAGTTAGGCATTCAATGTCCGAATTGTTTGTAAAATAGGATGTCACAAACAATAAGATTGTGACATTTGTGTTAGCTTTGGTGTTTGGGGTTTATGTCAAGTATCATGTAAAATATCTTATTTATGCTCTTTTTGTTCAAAAAAGATTAAAAACTTAATAGTTGTAGCCGTTAATAAATCTTGTATTAATTCTTCAAAGCCACACTCTCCCGACTTCCTATGATATCTATTTATAAGCAAAAAGATTCTACTTGGATCCAATGCTCACAAATAAGTCTTCATGACTAAACTATTGATTCTTGATGACTCTTACAAATCGCAACATGATAGGAAAAAAATACACTAGACATAGTGTTAGTTAAAGATGAGTTAAAAGTGTGAAAATATCTTGAAGATGAATAGAAAAATACATGAATCGTATAAAAAAAGAATAAAAATATTTATTCAAAGAAAACTGGGTCTCTCGATGTGCTTTTACTTATTTTTGTAGTAGTTCCACACTTGCTAATTTTTGGAGTAGATTCGCACTTGTTCACTTTGGAGCATTTGCGCTCTTATTATTCTTGAAGAAGATGCTCACTTGTTCACTTTGGAGAAGGAGCACACCTACTCATTTTTTAATAGGTGCGCACTTGCTCATCTTTTGACCAAATGTGTATTTTTTCTTTGATGTGAAAAACTTGAGCAACTTTTTTTTAATAGAGTTTTTGGAATACTTGTCATAAAATCCTTGCATATGAAAAAATATTCAATTATAAAAAAATATAAAAATAAGAACAACTCTTACTTAAAAATAAATTTAGAAGAATATGCAAATTGAATAAAAAAACATTTATAAAAGGAAAGATTTTAGAATTTTATAAGAAAGGGAAACAAAGATGTGTAAAAGTACATTTTTCTTAAGAGGGTGCACACCATCTCATTTAGTGAGGAGGTGTGCACTCTTTTCTTTAGATAGTAGGTGCACGCCAACTCCTCTTCTTGTACGAGTTAGATTTTTTTATCTTTATTCTTCGTGCCATATTATTTTCTTTTGATATAATAATTGGCTATTTTTCTAGGATTGTATTACGATTTTGTTGTTTTAAGACTTATGAAAAATTCATGTTCTCACATGAAAAAAAATCCTTTATTTCATGTTTTCATGAGATAATAATCTTCCGTAATTTGCAAGTAGATGGCGAGTATAAGTATAAATGACAATCAATGTCAAGCGGTAAAAGTAGAGAATAAGAAAGTTTACTCTTTTTTTTTCTTACTTTTTAAAATTTGAGCATTTTAGCTTTTATCAAGAAAAAAATTATTCATTAACATCTCTTGAAAATTAGATTTAGTTTTGATTGATGATGATTCAAAAATACTCGTCATCGTCAAACCATATATATAAATATGATGATGGTGATGTTAGCCTAAATCCTTTATGTGATTGGCCCCTCAAAAGGTATTATTTTATGTTTGGACTCATGGCCTCACCGTAGGTTTTGTTTTAGAAAAAAATGCTTTTCGAAAAGATAGGTGATACCTAAAACTTATAAGTTGTTTAATTCCTCGACTTCTAACTAATATGAGTAAGATTTTTTTTTTTTTTATCATCGACTACATTTGAATTCTATTTTTGAATACTTTTGAATACAACATCCTTATCGGTCCCTCTCAAGTTGGTGGTAGAGAGAAGAACTGTCAACTCGGTTTATGAAGCGTTGAAACTTCGTTTAGATATAGGCTTTGTTAAGATATCTATAATTTGGTCATTGATGGAGATATATAAGACCCGAAGGTCCTTAGTAGCTACCTTGTCGTAGACAAAATGAAAATCAATTTCCAAGTGTTTGGAGTGAGAAAAAAGATAGGATTTACAATGAGATATGCTTCACTAATATTATCATACCATAAAACCGGAGTATGTGGTAAAATGAACCCTAGTTCTCAAATTAATGAACAAAGCCATAGGACTTCGAAGGGGTTGTAGCGAAGGCATGACATTTTGCTTATGTAAAAGATCTTATTACTCGTTTTCTATTTT